CGCTCACGAGCCCCCCCTCCCCAGGTGAGAGCATGCCGGGGCTCCGGGGGCCGCGGCTGCCCCCCGCGGGGATCCTGCTCGCGCTGCCCTTCCTGCCGCTGCTGCTGCTGCCGGCTGCCCCCGCGCCCCGTCGCGCTTCCTACAAGCCGGTCATCGTGGTGCACGGGCTCTTTGACAGCTCGTACAGCTTCCGCCACCTGCTGGACTACATCAACGAGGTCTGGCCGGGACACCTGGTTGCGGGGCGTTGGGGGCGTCTGCGGTGTCTAGGGAGGACGCGTGCGGAACCGAAAGCCGCCCCTCTGGCCTGCCGGTTCCTCGGGAGCTGGTGCTGGACTGGGGAGAGTTGGGGGTGGGGACGAGACCCCCGGTTCTAGCGGGGCACAGTAGGCACTGGCGCAGCCTGGGGTGGAGGGAAGGGCTTCGCAGCCCACCCCCAGCTGCAGCATTGCCGCTTCCCACAGACACACCCTGGGACTGTGGTCACGGTGCTTGATCTCTTCGATGGGAGAGAGAGCTTGCGGCCCCTGTGGGAACAGGTGCAAGGGTTCCGAGAGGCCGTGGCCCCCATCATGGCAAAGGCCCCTCAAGGGGTGCATCTCATCTGCTACTCGCAGGGTAGGTGACCCCCTAATCCCAAGCACTGTCTGAAGCTTGATCCTTACCCGAGGGGCACTGCCTAGTGTCCCCTTTTCTGAACCACAGTGTCCAGCAGGACCCCGGTGCCTGAGCCCTCTTTTCTGACTTCCCTCAGCCCCTGGGTCTCATCTCTGTGTCCTCAGTGGCCACACTGCTACCCGCTCCCTTCCCCATTACCCATGGTTCTTGGCCCTAAGAGATAGTGAGGGGGCAGTAAAAAACACCCCAGAGTCAGGGTCAGAGACCCCTGACCCTAAGGCTGGCTCTTGGCTCTGTCACTGACGTGATACGGACCTTCTGCCGCAGGCCGTGTCTGTTGTCTGGGCCTCAGTCTTCCTTCTGCGCGTTGTGGTGGGGGAGGCAGCGTGGAGACTGTTGGGCTAGCTGTCCCTAAATCCCTGCCCACGTGGTGGTCTGCCCACAGGAGGCCTGGTGTGCCGGGCACTGCTCTCCGTGATGGATGAACACAATGTGGATTCTTTCATCTCTCTCTCCTCCCCTCAGATGGGACAGTATGGAGGTCAGTGGGTACGGTGGGCTTCATAGGGGGCCCTGAGTTTGGGGGGGGTGCCACAAAGGTTTGGGTCTACTTGGTGCCGCTGTTCTCTTGCCAGACACGGACTACTTGAAGTGGCTGTTCCCTACCTCCATGAGGTCTAACCTCTACCGGATCTGCTATAGCCCCTGGGGGCAGGAGTTCTCCATATGCAACTACTGGCATGGTGAGTAGGGGAGGCTAACCTGGACCTCCATGGAGGGGTACCCTGGAGGCTAGGGCCTGCTGCTCCCCCCTCTTCCATAGCCAATAGCAGTAACGATAGTGATAACTTATATTTATTGAGCACAAAATGCTTTATGTGAATCAGCTATTGTCTCAGAAAGTACAGTGTGGTGCAGAGGTCAGCAAACTTGTTCTTTAAAGCGCCAAAGGGTGAATATTTTTAGTTTTTTAGGCCATATAGTCTCTGTCACAGCTCATCCGTTCTGGCACGCCTGTGTGAAAGCCGCCATGTGTCTGTTCCAATGAAACTTCCTTTACAGAAACGAGCAGTGGGCCTAGTGCAAAAGCCTAAGGTGCTTTTCAAGACCATGGATGCTGGGTCCAGGCTGCTGGAGTTTGAAGTCTGACCCTGCTGGGTGCCTTCGGGTGTTCCTTAGCCTTCCCGTGACTCAGTTTCCCTCAGCTGTAACAGAATAATATCATACTTACCTTACAGGGTGGTTGGAAGCATTACATAAATTAGTGAGGACAGCATACTTTGAACAGTGTCTGGCTCACAGTAGGTGCTAGGTAAAGGTGTTCGCTATCATGTTCACAGTTATTGTTGCTGCGTTACATTACTGTTCACCTTGTCTATTACTGAAGCCTCCCGATGGCCTTCCGGTCTCCGGTCCTGCCCCCTCTCCCTGCTCCTCTGACTGTCTTTCTAAATGCTGTTTGTACCCAGATCCCCACCACGACGACTTGTACCTCAATGCCAGCAGCTTCCTGGCCCTGATCAATGGGGAACGAGACCATCCCAATGCCACTGGTGAGACCCCAGGCTTCTACTTGGGAGTCATTTTCTGCTTTTCTGACCGCTGTGTTCCCCTCCAACCTGGCCCGGCCCCCATGCTGACTCGGGCTCTCTTGCTCCCAAACTGCAGCATGGCGGAAGAACTTCCTTCGCGTGGGCCGCATGGTGCTGGTCGGAGGCCCTGACGATGGTGTCATCACCCCTTGGCAGTCCAGGTAACGAGGGGCTGCACGGCCTGAAGATTCGCTAAGGCTACCCCCTCATCCCCATCAGTCTTCATCGCATACCTAACACTGGTCCCACTGTCCAGTTAATGCCTGTCAGCCAAGACCCAAACCTGGGAGCCACCCCCCAACCCCTTGTACGTAGCCAGTCACTGCATCCTGCTGATTCTATTTCCTCTCCATCCCTACCACCCCTAGTTTTATAAAAAACTTTTAGCTTTGAAATAATTGTAGATTCATAGGACATTGCAAAGATGGTTTAGAGAGGTCTTGTGTACCCTTCACCCAGTTGCCCCGATGGTTGCATCTGATGTAACTATAGCACAGTATCAAAAACAGGAACTTGACATTGGTACAACGTGTGCAGACATTCCATGCCCTTTTAATCCATTTCCTATCACCTCTTTTACTTACCTGGTCTGCTGTGATTGCCTCCTACTCATCCCTTCCACCCTCTTCCTCTGGGAAATCCAGGTCTCCGTGGCACTGCGTGCGAGCCTCGGTTCCAGATCTCCATGCGTGCTCTGAAGTGTCACTGACCTCCGTAGTCACTCATTGAGCACTGCGTGCCGTGACGCTGTTCTGGGCCTGTGAACAGCTGTCAGTGAAGTCTCTGCTGTAATGTAGCTTACACTCTAGTGGGGGGACGGATAACAGATGTAACTGTCTGTGTCAAGTGGGAGTGAAATAAGGCAGGGGACGGCTGTCAGGAGTGGAGCCTGTTTTAGAGAGTGGCCAGAGAAGTCCTCCGGGAAGAGGTGCCCTTTGCGAAGAGATGCCCTTTGCACCGGGCCGAGGCGGAAGGAAATCGGGGAAGGAGTTGTGCAACAGCGTGGGGGAGTAGGCCCGGAGAAGGACAGCACCTGCATAGGCCCTGGGGCTGTGTGAACAAGGGAGCTGGGGAGAGAGTGGGAGAGGAGGTTGAAAGAGGTAGCAGGGAGCCGTTATGTTGAGCCTTTGTAGGGCAAAGGCCCTTGACTTCTTTTTTTAAAAAATATACACAACATAACATTTGCCATTTTTAATGTTTGTATGTATTATTTATTTTTACAGAGAGAGAGAAAGAGAGGGGGAAACATCAATCTGTTGCAGAGAGAGAGAGAGAGAGAGAGAGAGAGAGAGAGAGAGAGATCCGTTGCCTCCTATATGTGCCCTGACAGGGCTCAAACCCAAAATCTGGGTATGTACCCTGACTGGGAATTGAACCCCACTACCTTTCGGTGTACCGATGACGCTCCCACTGGCGGAGCCACACCAGCCAGGGCAAAATTTGCCATTCTTAAATGCACAGTTCAGAGGCGTGAAGGACATTCTGTTATTGTGTGACCATCGTTACCATCCGTCTCCAGGACTTTTTTTCTTTCCCAAACTGAAATTCCATATCCATTAAACACGAAATCCTCAGCCCAGCCTCCCCCAGCCCCCAGCAACCACCACCCTTGACTATAGTCTGAGTAAAATGGGAAGACATTGAAGGGTTTTGAGTGAAGGAGTAACATCCCTTATATAATAATAGTAAGAGATGGGATTTATTTACATTTCATTTCAGTTCTACAACCCTGTAAAGATAGTGATAGCTTGTAGTTACGTAGCACCTTTAAATAAAGCTCAATTTAATCCTCAAAACAACCTTTTCGGAAACTTGGGTGCAAAGAGATGGAATTACTTGCTTATGCTCATGGAGTTGTAAGTGGTGAAGTCAGGCTTTCTCTCTGTTCACCACATGTTTTCCTGCCTCGCTGCGAAGGAGGTACTTCTGACATAGGACACGGGAGCAGTAACATGCCCAGCTGCACACAGGGGGAGTGTGGCAGAGCTGGAGTGCAGATCCAGGTCGATGTGTCCCTGCTGCTCTCCCACGCCTGGTGAAACCCAGCTTCTCCACACGGCCTCCAGGCCCCCAGCCCAGCTCCCTGCGGGCCCAGCTGCACCTCCCTCTGCGCCTTTGCTCTTGCATCCCATTGGCCTGCAGCAGCCTTGCCTAGTCCAGGGTCATGGCGGGGAAGCCTTTGTTGATGCTCTAAACCAGGGGTGCTCTAAAACGGGCAGGCCAGGTAAGGCCCCACAAATCGTTTGGTCTGGCCTTGCCAAGGCATTAGGGGTGAATTAATTAAATGTTTGACCAAATACAGCAGGCTAATTTTTAAGTTGATAATTTGGTATGGCCATGGAATTATGTTATAAACTAGGGGCCCGGAGCGCGAAATCGTGTGAGACCCTAGACCCACCACGCCACGAGACCCATCAGTGCACCTCCTGGTGACCGGCCGTTTGGTCGTTATGGTGTTACGGCCACTGGCCTTTTATAATATAGATATCCAGATTGCCCACGGCAGAAAAAAGGTTCCCCACCCCTGCTCTACAGTAAGGCAGTGGCTTATCTTTTCTCCTGTGGCCCATTGGACTTATTATTAGCATTCAGTTATTCATTGCCAGCATCCACTCAATGCTCATGCCAGTTATATATTCTTTTTTTTTTATTTTTTTATTTTTTTTAAATATATTTTATTGATTTTTTACAGAGAGGAAAGGAGAGAGATAGAGATAGAGAGTTAGAAACATCGATCAGCTGCCTCCTGCACATCCCCCACTGGGGAAGTGCACGCAACCCAGGTACATGCCCTTGACCGGAATCGAACCTGGGACCTTTCAGTCCGCAGGCTGACGCTCTATCCACTGAGCCAAACCGGTTTCAGTTATATATTCTTAATGAAAAAACATGTTCAGACCTTTTTAAAAAATTTTTAAATACATGTTTTTATTGATTTCAGAGAGGAAGGGAGAGGGAGAGGTAGAAACATCAATGATGAGAGAATCATTGATCAGCTGCCGCCTACATGCCCCCTGCTGGGGATTGAGCCCCCAACCTGGGCATGTGCCTTTAACCGGAATTGAACCCAGGACCTTTCAGTCCGCAGGCTGACGCTCTATCTACTGAGCCAAACCAGCTAGGGCTTAAGACCTTTTTATTTTGAAACAATCCCATACTTAAGCAGTTACCAAAGTAGTACAAGACAATCTCATATACTCATTACCTAGTGTTTATAAATATATATTTCAGAGAGGGAAGGAGAGGGAGAGAGGTAGGTGCATCAGTGATGAGAATCATTGATCGGCTGCCTCCCACACGCCCTCTACTGGATGTTTGTGAACCGTTTGAGAGTAGGTTGAAGACATAGTATCTCTTTATCCCTAAAACTTGAGTATGTTAGTGCATATTTCCTACATACAGGGCATTTTTTATAAGTGCAATACAATGATCAAAATCAGGAAATTAACATTGATATGGTACTCTCTAGACCAGCGGTTCTCAACCTGTGGGTCGCGACCCCTTTGGCGGTCAAAGGACTCTTTCACAGGGGTCGCCTAAGACCACCCTGCATATCAGATATTTACATTACAATTCATAACAGTAGCAACTTTACAGTTATGAAGTAGCAACGAAAATAATTTTATGGTTGCGCCCTGACTGGTTTGGCTCAGTGGATGGAGGCCAGCCTGGGGACTCAAGGGTCCCAGGTTCGATTCTGGTCAAGGGCATGTACCTTGGCTGCGGGCACATCCCCAGTAGGGGGTGTACAGGACACAGCTGATGGATGTTTCTCTCTCATCGATGTTTCTGGCTCTCTGTCCCTCTTCCTTCCTCTCTGTAGAAAATCAATAAAATATTTTTTAAAAAAGTTTATGGTTGGGTCACAACATGAGGAACTGTATTTAAAGGGCCAGAAGGTTGAGAACCACTGCTTTCTAGACCTTATTCAAATTTTTCTAATTATCTGTTTTTTAAAAAAACGTTTCTATTGATTTTTTAAAAAAATTATTGATTTTTTTACAGAGAGGAAGGGGGAGGGATAGAGAGTTAGAAACATCGATGAGAGAGAAACGTCGATCAGCTGCCTCCTGCACACTCCCCACTGGGGATGTGCCCCCAACCAAGGTATATGCCCTTGACCGAAATCGAACCTGGTTACCCTTGAATCCGCAGGTCGATGCTCTACCCACTGAGCCAAACCGGTTAGGGCTCTATTGATTTTTTAGAGGAAGGGAGAGGGAGAGAAAGAAACATCGTTGAGAGGGAGAGAAAGAAACATCGTTGAGAGAGAAACATCCACCGGCTGCCTCCTGCACACCCTCTACTGGGGATTGAGCTGGTGACCTCTTGGTTCATGGATTGACACTCAACTACTGAGCCACACTGGCCTGGCTCTAATTGTCTTCTTCTTCTTTTTTTTTTTTAATATATTTTTATTGGTTTCAGAGAGGAAGGGAGAGGGAGAAAGAGATAGAAACATCAATGATGAAGCAAGAATCATTGATCAGCTGCCTCTTGCATGCCCCATATTGGGGATTGAGCTGGGCCCTGACCAGGATTGAGCATGTGCCTTGATCGGGAATCAAACCGTGATCTCCTGGTTCATAAGTCAACACTCAAACCACTGAGCCATGCTGGCTGGGCTGTCTTTTTAGGGAAAAAAAAAAATTCCAGTGTAAGATCAAACCCAAGATCATGTGTTAGTTTTCATGTCTTTTTAGTTTCTTAATCTTGACTACTACCAAAGTCCTCTTGTCCAGTACATTGATATTTTTTAAGTGTATGGACCATCTATTTTGTAGAATGTCCCTCAGTTTGGGAATTCAGTGATGCCGTATCTTCCATGCGTCACCTCATGGGGTGCATGATGTCCAGATAAATATTTTGAGGGTTCTCCCTGCTGCCTGTCTCCCCAACAGGCTGTGAGTTCTTAAAGGATCCTACCCCACCTTGATTTTCTCCAACTCTCCTGATAATGGCCCACCCCCATCTCTTTGTAGCTTCTTTGGTTTCTATGACGCAAATGAGACGGTCTTGGAGATGGAGGAACAACTGGTGAGTCCCTGGGATTTCTTCATGCCCGTCCCAGCTGTCTGTAGCCCTCCCTACTGCTGACTCATGAGCTCAGAGGTTCACCCTGGGAAGGGGCCCGAGACACCAGCAGGAACTCGCGTCGTCTCTCCCTGTGTCTTTCTCCCATGCCCCTTTTCCCTCTCAAAGGTTTATCTTCGGGATTCTTTTGGGCTGAAGACGCTCTTGGCCCGGGGGGCCATCGTGAGGTGTCCCATGGCGGGGATTGCCCACACGGCCTGGCACTCCAACCACACCCTTTACGAGACCTGCATCGAACCCTGGCTCTCCTGAGGACATGCCCTGGGGTCCCGAGGAGCTCCAGGCCCAGAGACCAAGTGGTGGCCTTGGAAAGCGGATGTCAGCTCCGTTGCGCCTGTGACCATGTCATTGCACACTGCCCCCACCGACCAGGGCTCCCTGGACCCCCTCCTCTGCTCTGTGGTGACAAATCCTGGTCTCCCCACCTCATGCCTTCATTTGGGGTGGCTCCATGCTCTCCCATCCTCCCAAGGCTGAGGTTGGGAAGTGAGAAACCAGGTTTTTAACTTGTGGCTGCTCCTCCATCTCCGGCTGTGCAGGAGGGGAACCCAGCCTGCCCACCACGGGGTCTTCTCCCAGGCTGCTCAGGACACTGTTCCTCTGTTCCCGCCGAACTTCCCCATCGTCAGCCCTCTCACCCCCAGGAAGGACTACCCATGAGAGCGGGGTCCAAGGCTCCCCTATGGGTACAGTTCCATTCTTGAAGTGTCAATGTTGGGGAATATCTGTGGCCTGCAAGGCCCATCTCAGGTTTGGGGATCCCCCAGTCCCTATGTTCAGTGTTGGGGTACTTCCTGGGAGCCTATTTTCTTTGAGGCCCCAGCCCCTCCTTTAGCTAACCTTAAATGGGTGTTACCCTGTATTTATGGAAATAAAATTCCATTTCCTCAGTGTGGCTTGGCTCATTTCCAGGTGAGGGAACCTGGCTCCCCAAAAAGGGTGGGAATGGAGAGCCCGAGGCCTGGGTGCCCGGATGCCTGGTCTGGGGTGGGACCCCCTGGTGTTTCCGCTCTCTCAATGCCCATTCTGTGTGGGTTCCTGATTCTCTGTGGGTTCTTTCCTTCTGAGAACAATTCTCTTCCTGTCCCAGGCTGAGATTGGGGGGCTGAGCACAGGACCTCAGTGGTTTGTGCCCCAGCTTCATGGAAGGAATGTCCTTGCCACCCCCAGGCCAGCCCAGGGGGCTAAGGGTCAGGGTAAGCATTTCTTGAGCCCCTTTCCAACCTTTGTAGACCAGAGCTGGTGAGGGGCTGGACAATGAGCCTCCTCTTCCTTGAAAGGAGGAATTTTGACAGAGACAATAGGGCCCTGTCTACTCCGGCAGAGGGGGCGGTGGCTGACTCAACTGTGCCCCCTCCCAGGCCCTGACAAATGTCATCAAGAAGTGGGGTCCGTTTTCCCCTAGTGCCCTGGGTTGCCCCTGCCCCTCTGTGATGACTTCCCTTCTTTCTTTCCTCAACTGATCTTGCCTCTTCTCCCATGACCTGACCCCAGTTTAAGGGGGAGGCTAGGGCCAAGGGTACTGGTAGTTATATAGCAAGTAGCCTCTGCTGATTTGGGGGGTCCAGAAAGAAGGGGCCTCAGAAAGTTGGGAAGATACTTTTAGGGGGCCCTTTGCCGGGGTGGGGCAAGTGGTGAGACTTGGACCCCACT